TGCAGATAACGCGCGGCGGCGCCAAGGTAGCGTGTTATCCTCCTCCTCTTCCTCCTCCTCCTCCTCTTGCTGCTCCTCCTCCTCCTCCTCCTCTTCCTCCTCTCCCTCCTCCTCCTCCTCCTCCTTCTCCTCCTCCTTCTCCTCCTGTCTTTCACGAACATGATTCAAGACTTTGCCCCAAAGTGTCTGTTGTATTGCTCTTTGACAGGGGATGGTTGGGGGCCCGCATCGGGTTGGCCGCGCATGCTCCACATGTGGACGCAGGGTGTGTTTTGCATTGTTTTTTGACAGGGATGGTGGGGGGGTGCCCGCATGGTGTCTTCATGGCTCCTGGTTGGCTGTGGGTCGCGTGGGGGAGGTGTGGGGGGGCATACTAATAAGAAAAAGTGAAAGCCTTTCCCCAGAGCAGTGTAACCAGGGGTTGTGGAAAGAGAGAAGACACAACTTGTTAAACCACCGAAGCCCAGAGGGCTGGTGGGATTTCTGGGACGACGACCGTACGAATCCTGGAAACTGTTGTAAACTGTTAAGACGAGTGCGCGCGGCGCTCGGGCGAGAACCACATCTTGAACATGCACCGCACTCCATCCGCAATATTCTTGTAAACTTTCAAAGACGAGTGCGCGCGGTGCCAATGCGAGGGCCACATTTTGAAAACCACGCGCCCCCCATCCGTGAAGCTCGTACGAACTTGTAAGACGAATTTGCACGACGCGAAGGCGAGAGCCACATATTGAACACTACCAACCCTCCATCCGTGAAGTTGCTGCACATTTCAAACTTCAGGTTCATAAGTGGTGAGGAAGTCTTATGCGAAACGCCCGGACCGCCCTACCGACCCGCTTCGGAAGGCGACAGTGAGCAGTTGTTCGTCGGGAAGAGGAATGGGTTCTGGGAGTATAGGTTGGCCTCGCGCGCCCCCGTGAAGGGGCACGAGGCCCAGGCAGAACGGACAAAAACAGACAGCCACCAGCGGCGACGACGGACGAAAATGAAGGTAAACGCGGAGGAGGAGGAGGAGGAGGAAGAGGGAACATATACAGACACACATACTCGTATATGTTCATTATTGTGGGAATATGTCTATATGTGTATATTGTAGATCTATTGGAGATGGGCGGAAGACAGACATCCATAATGTATGTAAACGAATGTATGAATATTGTAATGTGTGTGCATTTGTTTGTTCCTACCTTGGTCCCACCGTTCGGAGGAGACGGAGGAGGAGGAGGGGGAGGAGGAGGAGGAGGAATCCCCCCCGAACGCCCCGCGCAGGCGATCTTCGACTTCCTGGCGTCCTGGAAGTCCCAGGCGCTGGCGCACCTGGGGGACCTGTCTAAGGACCCGGGCGTGAAGGCCTGCCAGAGGAGCCGGCCGGCGGCCGCGCTACCGGCAGGGTGCTTCTAGTACAGGAGCGGCTTGGGCACTGCGCCCCCCTGAAGCAAGGTCGCCACGAAAGAGATGTGAGGGGCAACGTGAGGGCGCATCGACCCCCAAACGCCCACTGATCGCCGACAGGTGCCCAGGAACGTTCGATTGCACAAGCGGGAACCCACCGCCGACCTATCGTCGATGTATCGCCGCGTCAAGCTCAACGTCTGAGCCAGCCCCCGCCCCCCATACCCCCCTCTCAGAACTGCGCCCCCTAGCAAAAACGCCAGGAAGGAAACGCGTCCTGGGTGAAGCGGGTCCTGGAATTGTTGTCGCCGCTTTCGGATTCTGGGGGGCCCTCCCTGGGGCCATCGGACCGTCGAAGAGGGCGATTCGGGATGATGAATCTTGCCCCAGGACCCATTTCCCTGATCATCCGTTTCTTGCAAACGACTACTAGTTACTAGCGTTCATTGGACGCCTGAACGAGGCCGCCCCCGATTGCGGCAGGACTGCATGTCACCTCCGGGGGGGGGGAGGGGGCGTGGCGTCGCGATGTCCCGGGGTCCGCTCCCAGGAGGGAGCTTAGGTGGCCGCTGAACGTCGCGAGCGGCATGCCCAGGGGATCCACAGGCGCTCCCAGTTCTTCCCTCGAAGAAGACACTTGCATAACCATAAACTGTCAGAACCGCGTGTCTCAGGGTCTCCCAGCTGTCCCCGATCGATTGCCATCGACTTCAGGCATTTCAGTTGCGCGCCTACTGGAAGGTTTCTAGGCGGTTCCTGAGGTCTCCGGGGTGTGCTAGGAATATCCAGGGATATCCAGTCTTGGGTGGGCGCGTCCAAGGGCTTCTGAGGAGAACCGAGGGGTCTCCTAAAGGCATTCGGTGGTTCCCAAGTATCCAGAAGCCTCCATTTGGGCCGCACGAGGTCCTCCGCGAGGACGTAGGTCACCGACTCCTGCATGACTCCTCCACACCTTGCGAGGCCTTGCAAGGGGGTGATGGGCTTGGCCTGGCATGGTGTTCAAGGATCTATGAGGTTCTATGAGGTCGGCGACAATGTTCTCGCGCTGCAAAGCTCTGTTTGGGTGGTTCCGCAGTGTGCCGCCAACCTTGTAAGGTCTTGGAGGGCGTTCTCGATGTTTCGTGCTGCTTCCAAGAGGGACAGTGACATCCCAGAGGGCCTCCTGGGGGCTTCCAGGGTATCTCGTATCTAGTGGCCTTCATGGTGCCTGGGTCGTGGATCTGCGGGTCTCTAGCGGCTGTCTCTGGGACCTGTCGGCGATCTCGGGTGCCTTCTTGACGGGGAGGGCTCCTGGGGCCCATTCGGGTTTCTCTTCGGGACACTTCCTAGAGGCCTCTTGGGGGCCTCTTGGGCCCATCTTGGAGGCTCGGGGGCCGTCTTCTGGCGATCTAAGGAGCTTATCGAACATTAGCTGGGTATGCTGACGACTTCGGCTCTTTCGGCCGGCCACGAGGGTTCCTAAAGACGGCCCAAGAAGCCCCCAATGCAAATCCACGAAGTGCCCCTCGAGCAAATCATGAGGCGCGTTGGAAGTTTGAAGCTCGAACCAGTGGTCGGAATCCTTGAAAAAAGACACGCGGGGAATCCAATGGCGCCAGGGAGCGCCCATGAATCACAGAGATCGGGGGTCTGGGGCCCTCAAGAGCATTCACGCGAGTTTCAACTGAAGTCGTAAATGGATTCTTGAGGGTCTCAGAACGACCCCTTCAGTGCCTACAGCTTACGGCACGATGGCGTAGTAGTTGCAGAGGCACCCGCGAGGGGGGACATCAAGCAGGGCCTGGGGCCTCCCGGCGGGATGGTGTGCGTCAGAGGGCCACGTGCCTTGCGCGCGGGACAGGCAGCCGGCCCGCCCGGTCGTCATCTATCCGACGAGCTGCAGCGGTCGCGCTGCAGCGCCAAACACAGAACGCGGGGGCTCATCCGGCCATGGTGAGCCCCGGTAGAACGGATGCAGGATGGGGACGAAGTCGGACCCTGATCCGAGCGAGGGGGCCGAACGGTCGTTCACTGCCCCTGGGTGCGTGATTGGAGTGGGGATCCGCGGTGCGCATCGTTGTTGCGTTTTAGCGTTGTTGTCGTCGTCCTCGCCCGCGACCCGCCCACGAGCCACCCCGCGACCCACCGTACGCTCGCCCCCTCACCCTCGGCCGCAATTGCGGGGTGCTACGAAAGGAACGAGGGGGCTTATCCGGCCACGGCGAGCCCCGGGAAAATTTCGGCAGGATCGGAACACAGTCGGGCGCCGCGGTCTTCTCGGAGCGTTTCTCAACGCTCTGGAGCGAGTTATCCTGATCCTTTACCCGATTGCGAAGGCCTCACGGCCAGTGCCGCCGACACTGCAGGACGACCACGACCACGACGACGACGGCTGCGGCGGCGACGATTCTGGGCCTGTTTTACCTGGCCACGAGCACGGTGCCCCTCTCAGATCCGAGGGACGGGCCAAAAGCTTGAGTCCCTGCTAGGCCCAGATCGGCGACCAGTTACAAAGGGTGTGGTTCCTCGGGGGGGTTGCTTTGCGACAAGCGTCGTTGGGGCTTGCGGGGGGGCACCACTTTGCCCTCGTCGGGCCTCCTCGGTGTCGAGTGCCGGTTGCAAACCACTCCTTTTGCACACCAAACCCTTGCGAGTCGCGGACCAGAGTGGCCCCCTGTCTCGGCGCCCCGGCCGTGCCTCGGGGGGGGCCCTCGTCGCCGTGCGCGGCCGCGCCGGGCTCGAGAAGCTTTGGGGGCGATGCCCAAGAGGTCTCCCCAGAGTTCCGACGACATCATTCGGCGGCAAGCCCAGGGGGGGCAGTGAGAGGGGGCGGGCCTTCTCAGAAGGCTCGGAAGGCCTCCGGCCTTCTGAGAAGCTGTCGGAGCCCTCCCTCAAGACACGGACAGGTTCTCAGAAGGCGGGGGGGCTTCCGAAAAGCCCTTAGTTTTCTGAGAATGCCTTATCCATCTCACTTCCCCCTTGGCGCGCCGCCGAATTTGTTCCGCTGGCGGTCTTTCTTTGCTCTTGGATTGGGGGGGGCTGTGCTCGCAATGAATGAATCCGGGGGGCAAAACTGCCGCCAGGGAAGGGGTCGGGTCTTCAGCTGCGGATTGAAACAAACAGATCTGCGGATGTCAGGGTCTCACAGAGGGGCAACAGCGCATCTATAGATGTGCCCCAGATACCCGGATGTTAGGCCACTCCTAGCGGCGCAAAGATAGTGGAGCGTCGCGCGCCTAGGCTGGAGAGCTGCCCTTCTTCAGGGCTGCCTCGCGAAGGCGCCAAAATAATCGGTTGTCGCGCACCGCGGGGCGCGATGCGCGAAGTTGGGTGACCCAGGCACCTCTGCCTATCCACCGCCACTGGCCAGGCACCCTGGGCCCAGATCGGTGTACATGCCTCCCTGGCCAAGCTAGGGCGGCGTATACACCGCTCCTGGGCCCAGGACAGGCCTGGCCACGGGCGGTGGTCGTGCGCAGATCTCGTCGCCCCATCTTGACGCGCGAGTGGCCGATCGGTGATCCCCGGGGGGCCGCAGCCTGGCTCAAGCGGCCCCAGGCCAGGGCGGGCGCCCCTGCGCAGGCGAGGCGGCGGCTGGCGCACGGGCCCGGGCCCTGTGCGCTATGAGCCCGCCGCGCCGCGGGGCGGAGGCTGCGGCGCCCGACCCCGCCGCGAGCCTCGCGGCCATGAGCTACCGCGTCGGCGCGCTGCTCGAGCGAGGGCTCGTCGGTCTCGGCCTCCGCGCAGCGCCCGCCAGCGCCGTCGCCTCGAACGACATTGAGCGGGGGCAGGCGCAGGCGGCGCCCGCGGCGGCGCCGCCGGCCGCGCCGCCGGCCGCGCCGCCGGCCGCGCCGCTGGCCGCGGCGCCGGCCGCGCCGCCGGCCGCGGCCGTGCCCGCGGAGGCCAGGGCGGGGCTTAGAGGCAACGTTAGGGGAGAGTGTGCTCAGAAGGGGGTGCACCGCCGGGCTGCCCCAAGTCGCGGGGACCTGATGGCCCACCCCGCCCAGGCGGATTCGACATTGAGGGCACATCGCCGATCAAGCTCGACGTTCCCCCCCACCCGTAAGGGTGGTATCTTTGTGTAGGTGGTTTGTGTGCAAGGGTGATGTTTAAGATGATCATTATCATCTTAATCATCAGCAGCAGTATCACGACCATCATCATCATCACCATCATCATTATCATCAGCATCAGCATCATCATCATCATCATCATCATCTCGTCTTCATATTCCTCCTCATCTCCCCTCCTCCTCCGCGCAATCAAAGCAAAAATACATTTGTAAATCAACAGCAGTTCAAACCCCATATAATCAAAACAAGCAATATATCAACACAATCAGCAAACCATCAATCACAATTCCATGCCATCAGCAATATACATATATATATATATACATACAAACAAACAAACAACATCAATCATATATCAATACAATCAAAAACAAAAATAAAATCGTACAAGCAAAACTACTAAGAACACGTCTTGGGTGGAGGAGTAGGAGGAGGAGGAGGAGGAGGAGGAGGAGGAGAAGTGGCCCTTCGCTAAAAATCTCTGGTTCTTTAGAATCATCACAGTTCTTTAACAAAAAAAACATTATGTTGGATGTTATGCGCTTTTCGATGACAGTCACTGGTTTGCTTGCCTTAGAGCTACGAGCCCTGTGAGGGCTCCCCCACTAATAGTTATACAACACCACACAAACTTGTGAGGGTTCAAACAATACAGAAATCAATGGTTTTCAGGACTTCGGGCCCCTCCAGGCTAGATCCGCCCAGGCAGCCTGGAATTCCGAAAACAAGCGGTTTTTTGTTTGATTTTGAGAGCCTACTACAAGCACAAAGAGAGACATACTGAGAGAGAGAGAGAGAGAGAAACAAAAGAGAGAGAGAGAGAGAGAGAGAGAGAGGGAGGAGGAGGAGGAGGAGGAGGAGGAGGAAGAGGAGGAGGCGGAGCAGGAAACTGAGGAGGAGGAGGAAGAGGAGGAGGAGGAGGAGGAGGAGCAGGACGTGCAGGAGGTGGAGGAGGAGGAGGAGGGAGGAGGGAGAAGGAGGAGTGGTCATTCGCCCGAAAATGTTTGTTTGGGAGCTGTCGCATGTTTTATGTATTTTCTATTGGGGCTCGACGCCGTTTGCGGTTGATGCAGCGCAGACACGCGCTCGTTGCGTTCGATAGCGGCCGCCCTCATCTGAGAGTTCTGGACGCCGCTGCGTTGGATCTACTTGGGGCGAAGGCTGAGGCATTATTGCGCAGAACGCTGACGAGGTTCGAAGATTATGCGAAGATCAAAGTCCTCCCCAGTTCGGAAGCGCAGATGCGGGTCGCCGAGGTACTCGGTCTTGGTGAAGACATTTGCTCCAGTGCGGCAGTGCTCGCCCTCCCTCGCCAGGGGGATTTCATGTTCGCGAACCTAATTCCTGACGTCGACAAAACGCAAGGCAAGTTGAAGCCTGGCCTCTGGCTGAGCAGGCTACTGGTACTCGAGGCCAAACTCGTGAACACAACCTGGAAGTGCAAGGGCAACCGGCCAGCTAAGGCACTGAACCCAACCGTCGGCATGGTCCTCCAAGGGTTCACCAGGATGATATCGATGGCAGTGAACCTCGGTGCGTCGAGCATAGCACGCGACGGCGCCGCGCAAGGCATTGAACCCTGGGGCGTTGACCGGGTGATGTTTGACGCATGCGATCAGCGCCCTGCGCCGGACCCGGCATTCCACGCGCTGGCCGCTTGACGCGGTCGAGAGCGATGCGTCGCGCGATCTCAGCGACCTGATATTCATCTCTTGTGTCCTGCGCTTCTGCGCCCCAGGTGCCACCATGCTGCGTGGCGCTTGGCGCGCCATGATAGCTCGCGCGGGGCCGCAGTGGGGGCCCCGGAGCGTTTTGACCGGGTACGGGGTCGAGATGATCGGCGGGTTACCCTCGGGAGTGCCATGGGCCTTCGTAAAGAAATCATGGAAAGTCCTGAAACGCGTCTGCTTGGACTTCGCCGTCGCGTTGATCACGCGCGCTGGTTGGCGGCGATGGCGCGATCGCGGCGAGCAGCTTGGACAAGGGCCCGAAATTCAAGGAGTCTGCTAAACCCGAGCTGCGTGCGACCGTCGAGGCCATCACCGGAGGGTGGATCTTTTACCGCAGCTACATTTGTTCCAGGGGCGGCGGCGTGCTGAACATGCGCAGAAAAGCATCGAAGGCATTCAATCGCACTTCTCCGGGCTGGCCCAAGTGGCCATGGCAGCTACCGCTGCTTTTCAGGCTTCCATCGCCGGCATTCTCAGTCAACTGCGCCGCCGCGGGCTCGCGCGCGCGGCGGCTGCGTCGGCGTCGTTTGCCGATGGAGATCGACTCGTTCGCGGCGGCGGGTTCTCCCCGCCTGTTCGTGGCGAGCAGTCTGGGCCGCGTAATGCTGCTTTTGACTCTTGCGAGATTTCAGGCGCATGGCGCTGCCTGCCGCGAGGCCGCGTAAGCACTCGGGCCGAGCCGCCGTTCTTGCCCGGCCAGGCCAGCGCCGCAATGACACAAGAAAGCGGTGCCAGAGGGCACCGCGCAGGGCATCGCGCGCCGCTGCTGGGCCGAATGACATGAGGTTCGCCGCGAGCCCAAAGCGCGGCGCTGCCACTCACGCAGAGCGTCGAAGCTATGCTCGTCGCGCCGCCACGCCGCTTGCGCGGAGATGCCCATGAGCATTCGTTCAAGCGTATTTGCGTGAGCCGGATGGATATTTTCTCCTTCTTGTCTTGATGCTTTTGCACTCTGATGCCTTTGCGCTCCGACGCCCTTGCGTCCATTTCCAACCGCCGCGCAGATGTCGAGCGTTTCTACGGTGCTCTTCTTCCTGCCGCATACGCGAGGACGCCGGCGGAAAGACGCCGCGCGGGGACCCCAGCGCAAAGCGTTCTAAAACAGGCCAGGACAGGGGGCAGCCCGCCATCAGACGCTCCGCCTAGGTCACCGCTTTGAATCACCACCTCGACCCCGTCAACAACGACATCCAGGCCATCGAAGCACATGGCGCGTCGCCAAAAGCCTTGGGCGAAGCCAAGAACCCGATCAATAACAGCGTCGACGAACTTACAGAACGAGTGGGCCCAATGGAATCAAATCATTCTTCTCGCCCAGCTTCGGCGACATCGGTATCCGGAGCGTCCGTGGACGCGGCTGCCCGAGCTAAACTTGCCGACCTGAACGCGAAGTGGCTCGTCTACGTGGCCCTCGTGGCATGCCCGCGCCTAGCGGCGCGATCTTCGCAGATAAAGGGGCCATCGCCGCAGTTGCCGGGGGCCTGGATGGCCTCGACTCCGCCGATTCCGCCAGGGGCTTGACCATGCAAGAGTCGCGGGAGCTTTCCGCGCCAACATGCGCAAATGCGCATGCCAATGGGGGACTTCTTGAACATTTTGTTCCTAGAGCTCGAGACGGCGGGTAAGAGGGATAAAGCGGTCGCGCAACTGCGGCTCGCTCAGAGCCCAAGGAACGGCAAACATATCTGGGTACTTCCCGATCGTCCGCCTCTGGTCCGAGCTGCCCGCAATCTGTGGTTCGGCGTCAAGTTTATTTTTTGAATATATATATATATATATATATGGAATACAGATATCTAGAGAGAAAACAGCGCAGCGGGGATCGATTGGGCCATTCGCGCGGACGGGGTCATTCAGCCTTACGCGGTCACATTTGGAGGAGAATTGACACTAACAGGTAGCATTGATGGGGGCACGGCACACCGAGATTGGGCCAAAGAGTGGCTCGAATGGCAAGAGTTGCAAGAGCGCGCGAACTTCCGGGAACCCAATGCGGCATGCGATGGGATAGCGAGCCGCACCGCGATGAACCGAATATGGGGGGCTAGCGGTCGTCGAAGTAGGAAGCGTGGCAGTCGCTGCTTTTGCGTCGAATTCCAAGTTGTGCATGCGCATGAGTTTCGGTATATGTTTGGCTCTGGCGTTCGGAACACGGAACTGCCGTGCATTGCAGGAGCGCAGACATGTGGAAGCGAACCGGAAGTGCATGGGGTGGTGTTCGACGTCGATCGGCATGTTCGTCGCTCTTGCTTGAGAGTGCTCAGGGGCCTCGGCTAAGGAAGCGTCGAGCGGCGCGCGGGGGCCGAGCGAGACGACGCGCGCGTGCGTGCGTGGGCCTGCGCCCCAACCCCCAGACCCCTGCCCTTCCTTCCCCCTTCGCCGTCGCCTCGAATGAACCAGGTTAAGAGCTTGAAAGTCATCGGGCGAAGGGGGATGGGCGCTGCTGCAGCCGTCTGCAAGTTCCGAAAGGAGACCGACATGCATTTTGCGCGCGGTCTGGCGAGGCGCGCCTGCCCGCCGCTAAATGCACGTCACTGTAGGTTCGCTCCCCGCGTGCTCGCCTCTCCCGCGGAGCGGGGGGCAACGTCGGCTCCGGGGCAGATGCAAGACGCGGGAGCCGCGCCCCATGCGAGGCGCGTCTGTCAAGGAACAGCGGGCGGGGACAAAGAGCTGGGCTCTTGAAGGAAAGCCGGCCGAGATGAGATGGGCGTAGAGAAAAAAACCAAGCATGGGCCATTTCATGTTCTGTTTCTTTGCGCTGTCATGACGCATTGCAGAAGAATGCGGCAAACGACGGGCGAAGATAATATTGGATGCCCACGCGAAAAAACATATTTCGACGGGGGGGTCCGTTTTGCAGAAGACTTGCTTGAACACGTTCGCTGCCAATCAACGGCTGGGTCGTTTCACTCCCAATCAGGGCGGTGAGGTGAGATGATGCCGAGCAGATTCGTTGCAATTTAGGTTGGCTTGCGTTCCGCTTGCATTTCGCCCGCGTTCCGCCGCCACAAGAGATGTCGGCGTAGTCTCTCGAGGCTCACTGCGAAACATATGCGTCTCTTGCTTCTCGCGCGCCTCTTGGATCCATTATGGTAGTTCATTAGCGGTGTCCCTCCGAACGCCTACAATCGTTTCATGGCCCCCTTTGGCTCTTTGGTTAAAGAGGTTGACTGGTCCTTGCGCATCGCGTGCGACTGTTTCCGCCGGGCCCGCGCAGTATGGTCCTGCGCGGACCGCTGCTCGCGATGCCTCGCGTCGTGGTTGCGTCCGCGGGCGCGCCCGCGCGCGTGCGCGGGCTGCGCGGCTGCGACGCGGGGATGTTGACGACGCGCGGCGACGCGGCATTCGCGGTCCACTCCGTGCGCGGCCGGCAGCAGGCGGGCGAAGTCTGCGCGTCGAGGCCTCCTCGTGCTTGTTCTGCGGGTGTGCTTCGGCGAGACGGCGATTGACTTTGCGGCTCGCGTTGGGGGGCGCGGTTGTTTTTGCCGAGCTGGTGGATGTTCTCTGGAAAGAGTTACTGGAGCCGCTCGCAGATCTTGCGCGCGACGAGCACGGAGTAATTACCTGGGTGCGAGAGCCGCGAAGCATGGTAGAAGGCGCGCTCGATGGCGCCATCCATAGCGGACGGCTCGACAGCTGTCTGTCTTGCAGAACGGGGGTCGCGCGACGCTGTCCTGCAGAAGCGGATGCATGTCGACGACTGTTTCGGGGGCATGCGCGGGCCCCCATTTCGTCAAACGTTGGATGGCGTCGGTAAGGTTGACAAGGGGATTTCGCGGAGCCGCGCCCTGGCGCCCATGTCATGACAAAGATGGAGGTGCTCTTCGCTGACCCACAGGAAGCGCGCGCGGCCTGCAGCAGAGCGCCGTGGAAAGCTTATGGGGTGGACCACTTATGCTTTGAGCGATCTCGCGGTGGGCGTCGCTCGTGCTGCAGGAGATCGCGTGAGCGCGCAACTTATATACGACTTCCTTGAGTCCATCAGGGCCGCTCGGGCGCGCGCGCGCGCGCCAGCATCGAGGGGGCGGGGGGGGGGGGGCGATGCCGCCGCCAGGGAGGCCTCCTCCTTCGTCGAGGGGCGTTCGATGCTCCCTAAAATCGGGGCCACGGGGCATCGGGATTGGTCGGGAGGGGGGGGGGGGGAGAGAAATAGAGAGAGAGAGAGAGAGAGAGAGAGAGATAGAGAGAGACAAAAAAAACAAAAAGAGAGAGATAGAGAGAGAGAGAGAGAGAAAGAGAAAGAGAAAGAGAAAGAGAGAGAAAGAGAGAAAGAGAGAAAAAGAGAGAAAAAGAGAGAAAGAGAGAAAAAGATAGAAAAATAGAGAGAGAGAAACAAAAAAAGAAAGAGAGAGAGAAAGAGAGAGAGAGAGAGAGAGGACGCAACAAACATATTGAGAAAGAGAGAGAGAGAGAGAGAGACATAGAAAACCAAAACAACGAGGGGGGGGGCGCGCCAGGGCGAGCTTCCTCGCTGGCTGGCCCCAACGGCGGCGGCGACGCTGTCCCGGTGTCCTCGGAGGAAAGGCGCTTTCCAGTTGATGGCCTTCTCGAAAGAAGGGTGCGCCCTTCGCATTCGGGAGCAGCGGCGGGCCCTCGGTCCAGATATTACTTGAGCGACTTAGGGTTGATCGCGCTGGCGCGGTGCAGCGGGGCGACAGTTGCCGCGTTCTAGCGAGTCGTTCGGGCCGGCGAGATCCCATTGCTCCGACGCTATTTCTCTCGCGGCGACCGGCCTCTCAAACTGGTGGCAGCGCAGGTGCGCGAAGAAACTGGGCAAGCGCGATCACATTTTGACAGGTTCCGGGCGATGGAGAGGCCGAGAAGCGGCCCCCGCTGACGCGGCCGGCGACGCCTTCCCCGCCTCCGCTGCGCCCGAAGGCGAGGCGCTGGCGCAGCGGCGGCGGCAGCAGGCCCGGAGGGGATTCGCGCGAGAGCGGCGCCGTACCCGAGTCGAAGATCGACGCGCGAGGCACTGCTGCAGAGACCATGGGTTCGTCGTGGGCTGCGTCTCCCAGCGGTGACGGGGGCGCCCCAGATGGCCCCCCCGCAGACCCCGGCCCTCGCCGCGAGCAGAGTCGCGGGCAGACGTCGGTGGCCGGCGAGGGCGGGGTTTCGACGTCGCGACTTTCTTCGAGCGCGGCGCCGCGCCCGACTTGCAGACCAAGACGCGAGAGACTGCTGCAGAGACCATCGGTTCGTCGTGGACTGCGTCTCCCAGCGGCGACGGCGGCGCCCCAGGTGGGCCCCCCGCGGCCCCAGCTCTCGCCGCGAGGAGAGCCGCGGGCAGAAGTCGGCGGCCAGCGAGAGCGGGGGCTTCGACGTTATATTTTTTCATAGTTGTCCACGGGAGCGGGCTGCGCGAGGCTTGGCGCGGGGCAGACTGGGGATAGGGCCCATTTGCTTTTTGAAAAACTTCGGAATTCGGTGGGGGGGTCGTCGTCGACCCCGGATTTTGCGCCCTTTTCAAGCGCGGGCTTGATTGCGAACGCGCTGGAGGGCGGCGCCGCCGACGGGCGAGCCTCGAAAGAGCCGGCGACGGACGCGAGCGACAGTTCAGATGGGCCGTCGAGCAGCGACGAAGGAGAGGAGGAAGCCGACCATCTGCACTTTGCCGCATCGAGCAAGGATGGGGCCGCCAGGGCGGGCGGGGGAGAGATAGATGGACCTCGCGCGCTGGCGACACGTGGAGCCTCGAAAGCGCGCGCGGTCGCGCCCGACAGTGCCGGTGACGGCAGACGGCGAGCCTTTGAGAATGGAAGATGTGCAATCTGGCATGAGGTTGACACTCTGATCATGCCCTTCCTCGGCGACGACGACGAGCGACCGAGACCAATTCATGTGTCGCATCGCGGGTGGTGCCCGAGACAGGTTGCACGCGAAGCTGATCAGCCATGTATGCAAAGCGTACGTGCAGGGGGCCATCGCGGTGGCCGAGCGGGAGCGATGGCCTCGCGTGGGTTTGTCCACCGCGCGTCGAACACTGAATGCCTTGGCATTCCGCTACGACGACATTGGATCCAGTCCGAACAAATCCGAAGCCCCGAAACTATTGATTTTCGATGTTTGGGAACCCTGACGGGTTTTTTCGGAACCCTCACCGGTCGCGCGAAGGACCACTCCTCCTCCTCCTCCTCCTCCTCCTCCTCCTCCTCCTCTTCCTCCTCCTCCTCCTCCTCCTCCCTCCTCCTCTTCCTCCATCCAATACGTTTTCATATTGTGGTTGGTTGTCTGGTATATCTTATCGATGATGATCATATGGTTTCCTATTGTTTTTGATTGTATGGATTTCTGATTGTTTTGCTTATATGGGTCTCTTATTGTTCCTGATGTCGTGGACGTCTGATTATTTTTGTTTGTATGGATTTCTTATTGTTTTTGTTTGTGTGTGAGTTTATTCTTGCTGTTGATTGCGTGGTGCTCTGGCTGTTTTGATTGTGGATTTCTGATTGTCTTTGTCTGTACGTATGATGATGACGGGTGATGATGGGGATGGAAGATGACGACGATGAGGAGGGGGAGGAGGGTGGTGAGGATGTTGATGCTGATGTTGATGATGAGCTGGGAGGAAGGGAGAGAGAAAGGGATACATAACACAAGAAACACGCACAAGCCACCTACACAAAGATACCCCCCCTGAGCCAGTCCCCCCTTAAAGTTCGCTCTCAGGGGCACGCTGGGGAGGAGCTCCCGCCGCTGTGGCGGCCTGTGCCGCGGGCGTTGCGGTACTCACGGGGCCCGCCGCTGCCTTTCGAGCGGGCCAGCCTGCTGTTCGCCAAGCAGGCAGGGGGCTTCCAGGACGAGGACGGGGGCGGCCAGCAGTCCAAGCGAGCTCGCCTGGGCCTGGGCACGGACGACCTCGGGCTGCGCGCGGCCTCCTGGCGCCCAGCGCCGGGGGCGCCCTGGCTGCCGCGCCCCGTGCCGCTGCTGCTGCCGGCGGGGCGATCGCGGGAGCAGGACGAGCCGCAGCTGGCGCCCGCTAAGCGCCCGCGGAGAACGGCCTCGGATGTGGTGTTGGGCCTCAGCGCGGCTGGGCTAAGGGAGCTCGGGTTGCCAGAGGGCGCCAAGTGAACACACGCGCACGCGCCGCACGCACGAGCGCACAAACACATGCACACACAAACACATGCACACAGAGACAGGCACACGGCTAGAGGGTTGTGCGGCGGCTTCGGCCGGGCTCGCAGAGAGCCCAGTGGGAACGTACAGGGATCACCCATAAGGAACCTCATTGACACGCACACACGCACACGCACACGCACACGCACACGCACACGCACACACGCACACGCACACGCGCACACGCACACGCACACGCACACGCACACGCACACGCACACGCACACGCACACGCACACGCACACGCACACGCACACACACACACACACACGCACACACACACACACATGCACGCACGCACGCACGCACGCACGCACGCACGCACGCACGCACGCACGCACGCACGCACGCACGCACGCACGACGCACACACGCACACACGAATTTTTTGTTCCCAATCATCCTTTGGTGTTGGGTCCTCCGTTTGAAGAGAGCGCCCGCCCCGCGCCACTCCTTCCTCCTTCCTCTACCCGCTCCCCGCATGTCCATGTCGGGACACCCCTCACACGGTTCGTGGCCCCACAGGGAGCTCTACCTCAGATTCCAGTGGCCGTCCTCGCATGCGGTTCCCCGCCCAATTCGGCACACCCTTCAAACGGTTCGTGGCCCCATAGGGAGTTCTACGTAAGACCCCAGTAGCCGTCCTCGCACACGGTTTCTCGCCCATGCTGGCACACCCTGCCCACGGTTCGTGGCCCCATGTGGGAGCTCCACTGAGACCCCAATGGCCGTCCTCGCATGTGGTTCCCCGCCCATTACGGTACACCCCATCAGACGGTTCATGTCCCCATGGGGGTCTTCACCTGAGGCCACAGTGGCCGTCCTCACAGTGGCCGTCGCACGCGCACGCGCACGCACACGCACACGCACACGCACACGCACACGCACACGCACACGCACACGCACACGCACACGCACACGCACACGCACACGCACACGCACACGCACACGCACACGCACACACACGCACACACACACACACACACACACGCACACTGATCTTGGCATGGCTGATCATGGGCCCATGATCGGTGCATAGGCCCTCCTGGCGTGGTCAGAAAGGCACATGATGGGCCTGGCCAGGATCTGTGTGTGCGTGTGTCTGCACAGTTCGCGCCCTCCCAGGCTGGTACAGGACCCCGAGGACGCCCAGGCCCGCGAGGAGGCGCTGGCGGTCGCGGGCGGCCAGCTGCGGCCGCAGCATCCGCCGGCTGACCCGGCGGGCTCCTGGCACTGCGCGCCGCTGTTCGCCCAGCCGACCGCGACGGTGAGCAGACTGACCTTGGAGCCTGCGCTGCAGGCCGCCAGGGAGGCTCGGGTGAAGGCCTTCGAGGAGGAGAAGGCCAGAGAGGAGGCCCGCCTCGAGGTGGCGAGGAAATTGGAGGAGGCCAGGGAGGAGGGCAGGCGCGAGGAGGCCAAGCGCCAGGCAGAAGAGAGCGCCAGGAGGGAGAAGGCGGTGGCCCAGGCCGCGTCCAAGGCCGCGGCGGCCCGCCTGCTCGCCGATGACAGGAAGGGTATTGTTTTCGAGGAGGGGCGCCCTGGCGACGCGCCGGCGCTGGCGACCAAGTCAGGGGCCGCCGCTTCGTCCACTGGCGACGTTTCGATGAAGTCCAGCGCGTCGCTGACGCCCAAGGCACCAGGGGCAACGAAGACGTTCATGCTTGCGCACGCCATCGCCCTCTGGTGTTGCCTCCTCCTGCCCCACGGATGATCCTCCTCATCCGTCCCCTTACCCTCTGCGCACGGCCCTCCCCCTCTCCCCCGCATGACCGTGCTCCCATTTCTAATGTTGTTTTCGCCTCACCGAGGAAGCAACTCCGAAGGCAGAGGCAGAAGGCGACGAGCAGGACGATAAAGTGGAGGTCAAGGACGCCGACACGCTGTGGCGCGTCAACATCGAAGCAGTCTACAGGCGCAAGAACCCCAAGCTCGTGGGGAAGGTGCCAGAGCTAATTAAGAAGTACAAGGACCAGCAGAAGTCGCTTGCGGTGCTCTACGCGAAGGTGTGCCGCCAGTACGAGCTGGACCCCACAGTGATGTGGGCCACCAGGAACTGGCGGCGCGCCGCGGGGGGGAGAGCAGAGGGGGCGGACCTTTTCAGAAAACTCAGAGGGCCAGAGGGCATCTGAGAAGCCCCGCCGCCTTTAAGGCCGCCTCCCTCTGCCCTTCCCCCTCGGCGCGCAGCCGAGAGGAAGCAGGAGGAGCCGACGGAGGACGACGACGCCGACGGTGGCTTCAAAGACAATGCCTTCGATGCCGGCGACGAGAAGCCGTCGAGCGCGGGCAAGGCGGGGCCAGAGCCGGGCCAGGACTCCAGCGCCCCGGCAGGCTCGGGCTGGGCCGAGGGCAGGGTCGAGGGTCGGGGCCGGCAAGAGTGGGGTGATTGCCTGGAGAGGAGGGCGTGGGTCTGTGTGTCCGTGTGTGTGTGTGTGTTTTCGCTGGCTCTTGGGGGTTTTCCCGCCCTGGGATGCTTTCCAGCAGCTGCGCATCATCGAGAGCCTCCCAGGGGTGCCCGGATCGTTCCGACTGGCCGCCCGAGGCCCGAGCCATGGCCCGAAAGCCACCAAGCGTCGATGGGGGGCGAGGACCGAGGACCCGAAAGGGGGGATCTATGATGGCCAGGGCCCTGATGTCTCCCCGGATTGCATGGCCCCCGCTTATTTCAACGCGTCCTTCGGCCCCCATGGGCCGCGCACATGCCGTGGGCCATGATTTGCGAGCCCCTCGCCTGGGCGCCCCAGAGGGGGGGATGGGGTTGGGAGGGCGAGCCCCCAGCTTGACGTGTCCCTCCTCCAGGGGCCCGTTCAGGGCCATCTTCATCTTGCCCCACGCCAGGCCCCAACCCCACCGTGCTGCGCCCCGTCCCCATTCCCCCCCCCACCCCCTCCAGAGGGGGGAGAGGGGATGGGGGCGATGACGGTCTCAGACATCCGTTGGGTTGATGCGTTCAATCCGCGGTCCCATCTTCCTGGACCAGTTCCCGATGGTCACGAAGCCAGAAGGCGGCCCCCAGAGGCAGTTCCCGAGGTCCCACGGAGAGTCTCGGGGGCCGGGAGGAGGCGACGAACAAGCATCTCTCCCACAGGACCCCCAGTTTCCTTCATGCTGAGGTCAGGGGCAACAGAAGGGCGAGATAAACAGGCTCTGGGGGGGATGCATCGACTTCCAATCGCCATTCATCGTCGATAGGGGCCAGCCCACCCCGCCCTGAAACGTGCGGATTCGCTGTCGAGAGTTCATCGCCGATCTAGCTTGCCCCCCTCCTGAGCTGGCGGCGTAGGCTTGATTCGCCCGAGTCCCGATTCGCCCGGCTCGATTTCAAGCAGTGGCGAAGCGTCCCAGCTTGCCTATAGGCCCTCAGAACATTTCTGGCTGGGGCTGTCTTGTTTTAGCGTATCGAGCTTATGTTCTAAGAACATTGTTTTTGTTATTACAACATTTGGGGGTTCTAAGACAATTTCGTGGCAGGCCTATAGGAATGCCGGGACGGTCGGTCCTTGCTCAAAGATTCGCCGAGTCTCGATTCGCTTGGCACGATTCGCCCGGCTCGATTCGCCTGGCTCGATTCGCCGAGGCTCGATTCGCCGGGCTCGATTCGCTCGGCTCGGTTCGCCGAATCTCGATTCGCCAGGCTCGATTCGCCCGAGTCTCGATTCGCCCAGCTCGATTCGCCTGGGCTCGATTCGCCCGTCTCGATTCGCCCGGCTCGATTCGCCTGGCTCGATTCGTCCGAGTCTCGATTCGCCCGAGTCTCGATTCGCCCGGCTCGATTCGCTCGGCTCGGTTCGCCGAATCTCGATTCGCCAGGCTCGATTCACCCGGCTCGATTCGCCCTAGGTTTAATCGCCCAGCTCGATTCGCCCGAGTCTCGATTCGCCCAGCTCGATTCGCCTGGGCTCGATTCGGCCGGCTCGAGTCGCCCGGGGCTCAAATCGCCTGAGTCTCGCTCGATTCGCCTGAGTCTCGATTCGCTCGGGGCTCGAATCGCCCAGCCGGATTCGACCAGGCTCAGTTCGCCTGGGTCTCGATTAGCTGGGCTCCGCCCGCCCGATCCGACCCGCCCGTTAAGGTCCGCCCGCCCGACCCGCCCGTTCGGGTCCGCACGCCCGACCCGACCCGCCCGTCAGATCTCGCGCGTGCTAATTCGATGATGCGTCATACTTAAATGTCCCGCCCGACCCGAACCGCCCCTCAGGTCATGAGGGTCCACCCGCTTGCTCCCCCTCCTCCCCTCTGGATCCTTCGCGTGCCTGCGAAGCGAGCCCCAGCGAATCAAGCCCTTGCGAAACAAGCCCCGGCGAACCGAGCCTTGCAAGCGAAACGAGCCCCAGCGAAACGAGCCCCAGCTAAACGAAGCCCTGGCGAAACGAGACTCTGGCGAAACGAGACTCCGGCGAAACGAGCCCCGGAGAAACGAGACGGGCGAATCGAGCTCGACGAACCGAGCCCCGGCGAACCGAGCTGGGCGAATCGAGCTGGCGAAGCGAGCCCCGGCGAAGCGAGCCCCTGCGAACCGAGCCCCGGCAAAGCGAGCCCCGGCCAATGGCAGTGCCGAGTTGGCTCCTTCCTGGCGTTACCCCTCATGAGGGGGGTGAGGGAAAGGGGAGATTACGAAAAATGCTGCACGCAGCCAGTTTTTGCTCCACCGCCAGGAGCTTTTCTCGTCGATGCATGGCCGCCGGGGGGCGCAAGGAAAACTAGTTGCACGCAGCCGACGTGGTATCCCTCCCTCTTTATCCCCTCCCCCTTCTGCCGAAGGGCAAGACATACATTATGACATAAACCTCGACTTTCGCAGTTCCGCGCAGATTTCTTTGGTTGATGCTGGTCCCCCCCGGCGGCACCTCCAGTGTCGCCCAAGCGTGCCAAGAGGGGGGCTCATCGATATCCCAAGCAATCCGCGCGGACCTCCGACAGTTTATGCTCATGTAGCGTCTTGTCATTCTGGTCTGTCTGCCTGGGAGAAACCGAGCACGAGGAGTGAATTCATGGCATTTGACTACTGTTTTTCTGTCTCTGCGGCGATGGCAGCTGCTACCACAGTCAGACGCTGCAATCAGGTTCACGGTTTCCTGGTAAGGGCTCCAGCCAAGGATTCTCTTTTGTGTAGGCGGGCCTTGAGGCCTGTGCCAGACGGGTGTCGGGCAGCAGGTGCCGGATTTTGACATGTAGAAACAAGGGTGCGGAGGGGGGGTCTCCAACATGCGTCTAGGCTCTAGGCGTGCATGCGCATGGCATGTATGTCCAATTGTTTCTCGCCACGTCGGGTCCACCTAGGGGGGGACCTAATTTCTGGTCGTCGGACACTCTAAACGTAAAAATACGTGTCGAGCATCAGGCGTGGGAATTTGACAACAAAACATGTGCGGAGGGGGGGCTCTCCAACATGCGTCTCGACATGCGTGCGTTTGCCACGTGCTTTCAGGTGTTTCTCGCGGGGACCCGACTTCTGATCGTCGGATTCTTTACACGTAACGATTCGCGTCGAGCAGCTGGCGTCAAACTTAAAGATAAAAGTACGTGTGCGGAAGGTGGGCGGTCTCCAACACGCGTCACGCCGTGTATGCGTTCGGCACGTGTTTCTCCTCGCCACAACTGGCCCCCAGGGGGGGGGGCACTCTCTGGTCGTCGGATTCTTTGCGCGTGAAGATGAATTACGAGCAGATTGCGTCGGAGTTTGACACGTAACATACGTGTGCGGAGGG